TATATATATATATATACAGCTCAAGATCAGCAAAAGTGATTGTGGGGATAGAATTCAGAACAGTGATTGCCTCAGAGTCAGGGAGGAAATGGATTGGAGGAGGGCACAGCAGTTTATGGGGTGATGGGAATGTTCTCTATCTCAATTGGGGTGGTTCCACAACTGTACCATTGTCAAATGACACAGTTTTCACTGACCTATACACTTAAAGTCTGCATACTTCATTGTATGTAAGTTGCATCTCATTAAAAAATCATCATTTAATGTTTGTTATTATGCCTGTACCAGTGTTCATAGTTGAATGTTATTGTATTCAGGAATTTTTTTCTCTTTTTGTTTTTCCTGTTATAAATTATTTCCTGAAAATAATTTTTCCTTTATTTCCTAAAGATAAGTCCCTTATCTTTTTTTCAATTGCCTTATTTATTTACTTATTTATTTAACCTATTAGTGATTGTTGCCATACCTTCTTGGTACACTCTTATCAGTACAGCCACACCATGTAATCTGTCAGTTGGCAGTTCTTACCTTGAGACCTCCCCATCCCTCTAGAAATTCATCATTCTTTTTGGTCTGTGCCAGTGTCGTCTAAGACCTGCTTCTACAACACTTGGGTTTTGTAGATTTTCTTTTGATTTTCTTCCATTTTGAACTATTTCCTATATCTCAGATCTTCTTCGTGAACTTCTTTGTTTTGATGGGATACATTTCTTGTTGGTTTCTTCAGGTTAAAAAGTCATTCTCAAAGCAGAGGACATAGTAGTGATAGTCCTCCATAAGTCCAGCTCCTGACTCTCAGGATCTCAGATACACTAGTTGATGGGTCACCATTCTGTTCACAGTTGTCATCCTGGAATTGGTTTGTTGTCTTCCTGGGGACTTTCTTTCTTTTTTTTTTTTTTCAAAATTTTTTAATGTTTTATTTTATTTTTGAGAGACAGAGCATGAGTGGGGGAGGGGCAGAGAGAGAGGGAGACACAGAATCTGAAACAGGCTCCAGGCTCCAAGCTGTCAGTGCAGAGCCTGATGCGGGGCTCGAGCCCACAATCGTGAGACCTGGGCCAATGTCGAATGTTCAACTGACTGAGCCACCCAGGCACCCCTTCCTGGATACTTTCTTTACCTCTATTCTGTGTTAGCTCTTTTTTTCCCTAAATCCTATGTCTTCCTTGCTCTTGGTTTACTCTTTTACTTTTGTGGAATACATTCTTTAGTGACTTTTTGGAAGAGATACATAGGGAGTAATTTATTTATTTAGATAGTCTGAATAAATATAGAATTCCAGGATAGAAATTATTTTCCTTAGGAATTTTGACTGCTCCACTATATTTCCGGTTTCCAGTACACCTAACTGAGAAATCAGAAGCCATTACGATTCCACAGGTTTTATGGCTTGCCCCTGCCCACTCCCCCACATTCTAGAAGATTCCAGGAACTTCTCTCTTCCAAGAGTTGGGCTATTTCATAAAAGTGTACCCTACCGGGAGTATTTTTAACCCTTTGTCCTGAGCACTGGTGGACCCTTTTTTTACATTTGGAAAATTAAGTTCTGGAAAATTTTTCCATTTTCCTTCCCTCTTCCCAACCTACTTTCTCTTTTTAGAATTCTTGAAGTAATCTTTAACTTTTGTCTTCTGCTTTTCATGTCTTTGCCTTCTCTACTTTTTGAAACAGTTCATCAACTTTATCTTCTCAGCCTTCTACTCATTTTTTTTTATTTCTTCTATCATGTTTTTGGTTTCAAGAAGCTTTTTTGTTCTCTTGATATTTCTTTTTTAATAGTATCCTGTTCTTCTTTCATGAATATAATACATATATTACTTGTCTCAGAGGAATAATGACAGTTTTTTGAAATTTTCATCTAAAAAAATTTTACAAGCATTTAACAAAGCATTTAATTACAAAGCATTTACAAGCATTTAAACTACAGATTTTTCCGGAATATAAAATGGTCTCAAACTGTCACTGCAGTTGCTTTGTAGTGATTATAGTTTGGGGAGAAAATGTACTTCACCAAAAGGTAATCAACTTCTAAATGTTCTTTTCCTAAGTTTTCTCATTTTCTACTTAGGAGAAAAGAATGGCATTTAATTACTGTATCCCTTCATATGGAATGTATGGTAGACTCTACCAGGTCTTTGACACACATTGCAATATGCAGAATAATAAGGCCAGTTTCCTCCTATACTACCAAAGAGCAGTAGCCAGGGTATAAATATGAATCCTAAAAACATAAGAATTATTACAAACAGTCTCATTGTTTTAGACATTTTCTTCATGGTTCCCATTAAAAAGCATGTACTGGCTAATGCAGCAGGATTTCCAAGGGTATATAACACTGCAAAAAAAGTTTTATGCCACCAGAAAGGCACAGTTATCCAGTTCCAGTAATAGAACAGAAAATGCCACGTATGAATCATATGACAAAGCACTTCAGTCTGGTTTTGAAACTAAGTGAAGAGACATTCAGGCTGCTCAGGAGCCTCTTGTGCCCATCAGGAAACCCAACCCTGAAACTCTGCAGGTCAACTTGAAATTTGGTTTTGAATTCTTTTTCCTCGAAATTGCTTTTATCGGTTTGTTTTTGATATCTCTGTTCCATGTTAGTGTCCTTAGATGTCTGGTAATCTTATGGTTCAGAATGAGGAATTTGAAAGCTGATGTGACGGTTCTGAGCCTACAGGGGTATTTGTCTACACTGAGCTTTACTCTAGGGTGGTCTGGGGGGATTTGTTTGGGAAGTCATAGTGTCTGTACCTGTAAGACTTCTCTTGGGCTTATTGAATTCCCCAGAGAGTAATGTTGCAATTTCTGCCTGGGAAGGTCTGGCTGAGTAGCTATGGGTATTGGGACCCAGCATTTAATATGAATATGATCGCAGTGCACAATGTATCTTCAGCTGTGCCAGTCAGCTTCTAGACAAAAGGATGGGCCAGTACTGAGAGCTGCTTTTCAAGTGGCTCCTACCCAGTTCTTCCCATTTTAGGCCCCTCTTTTGTCTCAGAATTCTAGAGCTCTCTGCTTTCTCACATCCTTAAACCATTTAAGGATTATGTGGTATAAATCAAGTGGATTGTCAGCCTTTCGCATGACCACTATAGCATTCAGCCTTCTTGTATCTGCTAAGATACCATTCATTGATCTGTGTTCTAGCTTGCAAATTTCTGGTGCTGTTGTCCTCTTTCTGACTTTCCTGCTATTGTAAGGTTTGTTTTGGTTTTTTTTTTTTTTTTTCCTTTTTTTAAGTGTTTACTCTAGTTTTAGTGAGACTTTGGGATAGACAGAAATTAAATGCATATGTTCAGTCTTCCATCTTAACCTGAAAGTTGATAAATTCAATTAAAGAGGATATATTCAGAAGGGACGCTTTGTTTGTGCTATTTTTTACATTAAAACTTCATGCATAGGGTTTATTTCCAAAAAGCCAAAGTACTTCCAACCTGATGTAATCACGTATTCCTTTTCTTCTAGTTGGGGCAAGAAGAAAGATACGAATTGCTCAATGTTCTGGAATTCACCAGGTAAAACAGCTGCTCTGTGATTTATATCTGTGAGATGAAATTCTATACATTTTTGTTTTTCTCTTTTAAATAACTAGGAGTGTGCTTTATTTATTTAGCTAAATTTATTTAGACAAAATACTAAAATCATCAGTGTAGTTTATAATTGTCATAGCTGCCAATAAGTCATGAACACCCATCTTCAGAGTATTGCAGGACATGACTCCTGGAGGCAGTGTAAAAATATTTTTGAACATAGCTGGTCTGCATCACAACTGTGGAGTATAGGACCAAGAGTCCCATGGCTGGTGATCTGGAAACATTATACTTAGATGCACTAGGATTTATGTGTAGTGAAGATGAATCAGAGTCAAGAACCCAGCAGTCTAATTCTGTGTTCATTGTATCTAATTATCTTTGAGATTTCAGAAACCATATCCATCCCTCCATTTAGGTATAAAACCAGTTACCATCTAGTAGGGAAAAGCAGAAATCAAAGAGATTATCCTACTTTATTTCTTAAGGTCAAATAATAGATGCCTTCTAATGATAATCAGTGATATCTCCGTGATTTTGGCTTTTTTATTTCTTCATGACTATGCAGTTTCCTAACCTACATTCTTAGGGCAAATAGGCCTCAGGTAACAGGATGGTTTTTAAAGATTGCATCACCATTAACAGGGCACTTAAGGCTAGGCCACGGCCAGGAGGTAACACTGCTCTTCAAGGAAATAAGAGTTTACCTAAATCCTTGAACTTTCTCCTACATAAGGCAAGCTTATACACTCACTGACTAGAAAAGGCATCTCCTACATTATGGAGGTTCCTCAAAAAGTTAAAAATAGAACTACCCTACAATCCAGCAATTGCACTACTAGATATTTACCCAAAGAATACAGAAATACCAACTCAAAGGGATACATGCACCCTGATGTTTATAGCAGCATTATCAACAATAGCCAAATTATGGAAAGAACCCAATGTACATTGACTGATGAATGGGTAAAGATGTGATATACATACACAATGGAATATTACTCAACCATAAAAAAGAACAAAATCTTGCCATTTGTAACAAGGTAGATGGAGCGAGAGAGTATTTTGCTAAGTGAAATAAGTTAGAGAAAGACAAATACCATATGATTTCACTCATGTGCAGTATAAGAAACAAAGCAAACAATCGTAGAGGAAAAAAGAGATGAAAACCAAGAAACAGACTCTTAACTAAGAAGAACAAACTGATTACAGTTACAGAGGGGAGGGGTGGTGGGGGATGGGTGAAATAAGTGGTGGAGATTAAGGGATGCATTTGTCATGAGCACTGAGTATTGAATGGAAGTGCTGAGTCACTAAATTTTACATTTGAAACTAATAATACACTGTATGTTAACTGGAATTTAAGTAAAAACTAAAATAAATAAATAGAAACACTTGTAACTTACTGGGAAAAAAAGTCATTTCCTTTTCTATGCCAGCTTTGGTTGCTATCTTGGTTGGGAGTAACCACATGCCAGTGTTTAATATAAAAAATAATGGGGTCTGTCTAATGTATTATTTAAACACTGCTCTCTTGTATGTGCTGAAAGGCTCAAGGGAAAATGCATGAGAAATTGGATGAGTAACTATAATAGAGCATATATATATATATATATATATATATATTTCCAAAATGTATTCCTGGCCTCTTTTTTTCATGTCAAAGTGGCTGTTTTTGCTAAGTCCACTTGCATTATATCCACAAGATACTATAAATAGTATATCATTAGCATTTGGGTATGTTTGTTTATTAACACATACCTGGAAGCATCACAAAGAAAAATAAAGCGCGGTCAGGGGTTTAAGGTCTATCAGGATGCAGCGATGGGGCAGGCGTAAGGATAAAAGTGAGAGAAGTGGCTATGGTGGTATTAAAAGAGGCTCTGGGAAAAACATTAGTGGTTCAGACTAGGATGATGGTAGTGCAAAGAAAGTGAAGTTGATAGAATCCAGATACCTTCTGGAAGAATGTCAGAGGGCCTTTGGGGTGGATTGGAGGTGGAAGAAGAAAGGAGGAAAGGGTTAGAGCCTCTGGCATAAACAACTGAGTAGGTAGAGGTGCCGTTTATACAGATGGCAGATATAGGAATAGATGTGCAGGATGAGATGTTTGAATCATTACGTTTGAGATGCCCCTGAGATATACGGATGGAGGTGGTGGGACAGGCCGTGGATATGAGGGCCTGGAACATAAAAGAGAAGCCTATGATTGAAATATAAATTTGGTTCTTGTTGGCCTGTAAATGGGCTTTCTCTCTCTCTCTCTCTCTCTCTCTCTCTCTCTCTCTCTCTCTCTCAAATAATTAAAGCCAAAGAAATGAGTTGGATCTCTTAGATATAAAATACAGAATGAGAGAAATAAGAAAGGCTGAGGATTGCTCTACGACTAACCCCAACTTCTAAGGGTTGATTAGAAGAAGAGGAATCTGCAAAAGAAACTACTTTGTGGTTAGAGAGGTAGAGGATAAAGAGAGGATGACTGCATAGAGCCAGGAGAAGAGGTGGATTTCAAGGTGACCGTGGTCTTCTGTGTCAGAGACTGCAGCGAGGTTAGGTGAGCTGAAGGTGAAAAGTATATGCTGAATTTAGCCGCTCAGTGGGAAGGTCAGGAGAGAAGCCAGGTGGCAGTGATGGGGGGGTGGCATTCAGGGGATGTAGGTGGAGACCGTGCGTGTAGCAGTTGTTTGGGGTTGAGTTGTGAATGGGGATGTGGCTCTCTTGGGGCACATTCTTTGGGCTGAGTTTTGTAGGAGAGAGACTCAAACATGCGCAACTGATGAGCAAGACCCAGTCTAGAAGTGGAAGACGCAGACTCGGGAGGGCAGCATAGCTTGAGGAGTGAGGTTACTGAGGAAGAAGAGTGAGAGAGGAGGTTCACATGTGAAAGGAAGTCCTCTGATAAGAAAAGAAATACTTCCTCCATTGTCAGGAAAAGAGGCAGAGAGGATGATGCCCAGCAGATAAATGTGTAGGTGTTAATGGCAAAAAGAACAGAGATTTTTGTCTGTAGCTTTCATCGAGGTGAATTGCAAAAATTCAAAGGATCTGGAGTACAAGGGTTCATTAGAGACTTGGAGAAGGGAGAAGGTGTTCCAAATCCTGCAGATAGAGAGCAAGTTTATTAGAAAAAGGTGACATGTTGCTGAACAGTAGTGAGCACCCAGGTGACATGGATATCTTGGATTTCCTAAACTCGGTGGCAGGGTGACTTTTCTCCAACTATGTCCATCTACTGTGGTGCCACAGAAAGCATTCCCATTTCCCCAGGATTTGTGAGTTTTGCCAGCAGAAGAAAGGAGCAGAAAAGTTGATGAGTTTGGGACCATCTCATTAAAGTTGGATTAAGGAGGCACCAAGAAGGGCTGAAACAGAATATAGACTATTCAATGTCATTACGGAGAGGGCCTAATTGAATGTATTCCCAAAGCACAGGGACAGCGATCGGAGGTACTAATACAGTGGGGATTCTAGATGGAGGAACAGAAGACTAAATATTTCTAGATACCTCAGAAAGAAACTCCTGACTGTGTGGTATGCTAGGATACCATATCTAACTGCTCCTTATATTGGACTCACCTCTGTTCGTAGCAGAATATTGTAAGGTAAACAAATAGATACAGACCCTTGAGAAGTCCTTCTTCTCCCTCATTTCTGGAGAGAATGCTTATATGCGCCTGTTTCTAAATGAGGCATATCTTATGCAGTCTGTGCCACTTCTATTCAGTGTCATTTGCTATCTCCCTGCAAATGCAGTGCAAGATGCTGTGTGTTTGACTACCATTTTTATATCGCCAACATGGTGTTAAAATGCTTGTGCTCATTAGCTTAGCTTTGTCATATAAATTGGGCTTTTTGCATGATGCCAGTGGTTTGCTAGTAATCATTGAAAAACAATCGTTGTGAATGCATAAGTCAGTTTTTAAGTGCCAGTGTTTGCCTTTCTGTGTGGTTTGGGTATATATTTAACATAGATTATTATTTCTGTTTGTATTTAAAGCTGTAACATACAATTCCTCTTAAAAGACACTGACTTTAATATTTTTTAAATCTTAAAACATTGAGCCAGAACTCTCTTCTGCTCAAGTGGGTACTAACTCTTGCAGGCTTCCTGGGATCTATTTTGTAAATTATTCCTTTAGGGCAGTAGATGGTACCCTGGTGCCTTAAAAAGACGTGATGCAACTTTCAAAGATACCCAGCCATACACCCAGGGACAGTTTGTGTATGTGGAAGGATAGGACTCATAATTTGGTCACATTTATTTTTTCACTGTGAGTGTTAAAATATGTGAGGCATGACAAACATATATATGCATATTCTCAGGATGATGACACATTATGGAAAACCTCTTTCTTTCAGCGCTAGAAAAAGAATGTCGGTGATTGTTCGCACTCCATCCGGGAAGTTACGACTTTACTGCAAAGGAGCTGTAAGTTTTTATTTTTGTCTTTAACAGTTTTGATTTATGACGGTTTATAATGTATACGTTCAGCATTCTGCTATGGAAATGTAACACAGATGTTTAGCATAAAGTTGCTGACATCCACTTTCCTTGGTGTTTTATAGTAATAGTGTTCAGCCTCTTCTGGTGAAATGCGGAATTCCTTCTGGGTAAATTTGGTGCTTTGAAAAAATTTGGCCTAGGTTATGTATATAATTCAATTTTTGATACATAATATTTGAGGTTTATATGATAAAATACGTTAGAAGACAATTAAAGTAGAAAATGCTTTGAAATTGTATTAGAAATGTAATGATCCACACCAGTTTGAATCTAATTTTTTTAAAGACCATAGAAACATGGGGAAAAATTGGATCACAGTGACTGCTGTAATTTTCATCATATGGTCATTACTATTTGTTTTGCATTGTTCTAATTATAACAGAATTTCTAACTATTGGTTGGCTTTTGTATATTGGCAGGTTATATTGGCAAAAATAGTAATTTGTTATTCGAAGTGAATTTTCCTAGTTAAAATATGTTTACACTCATAGAAATCTAAATAAGGGGTCTACGGACCAGAGCCACTTTTTGTTCTTAAAATTAGCATTTTTCTTCTGAATTATCCTTTCTGGATACCTAATCTACTTGGACTAGTCAGATAACTTACCAACTTAGAACTTTCCAATTTTAAATATAATTGCAACCTTGATTTATTGAATGAAACTTGGAAACTGAACTTATTAGGAAGCCAAAGCTTATTACTTAAATTTTTGTTGAAAATGTTTTTCAATGCCTTGGTTTTAAAGCATTGAAATGCAATTTTGAATGCTGTGTTTTTAAAGCATTTTGGTAGAATTATTTCGTGACGTCTCATAAATTTAGGTTTAGAATTCTTCCAGTTGTTGACTGAAACAAGTAACATTTATTCATTGTGTGCACTTTATCTACCAGCCTTTCAGCTCGATTTTGGAAAAAGGAAGATAAGACCCAACACTTGTCAGGAGCTGAGCCTAGTCAGGAAAATATATATAAAGAGAAGACTAGTGTACAATATTGAGGTATACTTTAAAGCTCTCCCACATTCCAAGGGTAGTATTTAGTGATAAGGGAATGATTGATATGTGTTCAGTTTACACTCAACTTACATCCTTCCATTCTTAGTTTTTTTGTTTTTGTTTTTTTTTTAATTTTTTTTTTCAACGTTTATTTATTTTTGGGACAGAGAGAGACAGAGCATGAACGGGGGAGGGGCAGAGAGAGAGGGAGACACAGAATCGGAAACAGGCTCCAGGCTCTGAGCCATCAGCCCAGAGCCCGACGCGGGGCTCGAACTCACGGACCGCGAGATCGTGACCTGGCTGAAGTCGGACGCTTAACCGACTGCGCCACCCAGGCGCCCCTCTTAGTTTTGAGTAATCATCCATCTAGAACCTTTGGGGAGTTAAAGCACTGAATAAACTATAAAAACACTGGATTTCCTTTTTGTATAATCATGGAGAGTTTGTATACATTAACTTGCTTATTGCATTGTTTCCCCTCACTCCCAACCAAGTTGGCTGTGAAATGCCGCTGAATGCTAAAAAGGCAGAAATATGTAAAACAGCAAGGTACACTTGAGAACTGCACACAGTTTGGCAGGGAATAGCAGAATTCAAGGCTGGCAAGGTGAGCATGCATTAGGTCATGCATTATTTTCATGCTCACGAACTTGTATTTTTTTCTGAATTGTTCTGATGCCATTTAGGAAGATGGCTTAAGGCAGAAAAGAGATGCATACAGAGTTACCAGTTGATGCTATTGACTATAGTCCCAAGAGTTGATAAGGATCTGAACCAAGACAGTTGCAGAGAGGATTGAGAGGGTGGAGATTTAGGACTTAGTAACTGATTACATGTGGGTGATGAGGGAAACCATGATCTAGGATTATTATCCAATTTCAACTTAACTGGGTAGACGAAGTGGTACCACGTCCCATGATAGAGGGTTGGGAACTACATCTGGGCCATGAGGCAGAGATGTTTGGATTATACAGGAGAAGGAATCTAGGGTGCTGATACAGATTTAGGAGTTAACATGTATAGCTGGAGACTAAAAGCAGAGGATTGATGAGATCTTGTAAGGAGATATTACATGAAAAGAAGAGGCTAAAAGTGAAGAGTAGAGGATCTAAAAAGAGAGATTTAATCAGGATTAGGGAGCAGTGGTTGGAGTTTGGTTTCTGTGAGACAATGGGGGCAAATAGTGCTTTCTGTAAAATGTGGATGGGAGCCTCTTTGATGCCTGAGACAGTGGTGAGGTTCCTAATTATGAGAAGAGACTAAGAAAAGCTCATACCAACTCTGCTGGGGGGTAATGTAAAACCATCAGATTGGGGTACACACAAACAAGGAGAGAGTGAGAGCAAAACTTAGGGACACATGAGGAAAGTCTAATGCCGAAGAGAGAACAAGCATGTAAACCACTGGACACGAATTCACTCCAGGTGAAATCATTTGTACAGACAGGTCTGGCCAAGGATGCTTAGAGCTCAACATGATTTAAAAAAAACAACAACAACTATTTTTAATCAAAAAGAAATTGGGGTTGAGGGGTGGGGGTACGTGTAAGCTAAACTGGAAATCATAAACAATCAAGAGAAAACATCAGTAAATGGAATAAACTCTAAACAGAGTGGAAGGGGCAGGGGCGGAGTTAGTGAATTGGAAGACAGCACTGAAGAGTTCATCTAGAATACAGCACAGAGAGATGGTGGTTCTCTGTGTGTGTGGATATGGATGGTTTATTTTTTTATTCTTTTCCAGGTTTTCTGCAATGAAGTCGCCTTGCTTTTTTAATTTTAAATGAAAAAAAAAAGGAAAAGTATACAATATACAGTTTATGTCTGCAATAGTAGCCTATTTTTAAAAAGTTATATCGACACGAATAAAATCTTAATTTATTCAAGAAAATAAAAACGCTATTCCAATAGGGGTCGCCTATAGGGGCGCCTGGGTGGCTCAGTCGGTGAAGCGTCAGACTTTGACTCAGGTCATGAGCTCTCGGTTTGTGAGTTCAAGCCCTGTGTGGGGCTCTGTGCTGACAGTTCAGAGCCTGGAGCCTGCTTCAGATTCTGTGTCTCCCCATCTCTTGGCCCCTTCCATGCTCATGCTCTGTCTCTCTCTTTCTCTCAATAATCAATAAACGTTAAAAAAATTTTTTTTAAATACTAATAATTAAAAAAAAATAAAAGATGAACAGGAAAACAACTTTTCAAGTGAAAATCGACCTAAGATGAGTTATTCATCTTGAAGCTGTAGACTTTTCACATAAACACCTGGAATCTGTGCCGTGCACTCCAGGAACATCCCCTCTTGCACTGTTTTCTGATCTTACCTTGCTGAGGGGCTAGGACACCAGATAAGTAAATCCAGTTAGGATTTTCTGTAAATGTAGACTCAGTAGGTTCTAATCCGATCCTAAGGGTACACACGCTTTCGTTCCTGTGAAGAAACCTTTTTTGGTCCTAACCACGTACCATATACTTGATGTAGCTCTCTGAATTAATGAGCATTACTCTGGGTAAAAAGTTGATCTTCACGTATTTCTGACAGGTAAGCATGGCCAGTTGTGACTATCGTTTAAAAACATACCATATAATTCATGTATATTCTGTCTCTTGCGTTCCTTGATACCATAAAGAAGATAGAAAATTCTATTTTGGACATCAGTGTCTTCCGCTAGAAAATTTGGCTACGTTGCAGAATTTAATCTTCCTTATCACTTTGGTTTTCGTGACTTTAATTTTTTAGAAGATTTTCTTAGTTTCAAAGCAGCCTATTTAGTTTCTTTGAAAAAGTCATTAGCCTCTGGAAAAAAATAGATTTCACAAGTTATACCTTTCATTCCTAGAAAGGAACCATGAGGGGAAATTACCATTTCCTTTTGCTTTGCCCCCCCCCCTTCCTATTCCACCACTAAAGAATGAAAAGAAATTCATAATTGGGGCCTGGAATATTCCATCTGTCCTGAGGTCACTAAGTTCTTGTTTCTCTCAAGGGTTCTAAATCATACCCCATTAGACTCCTTCCAAATCTCAGCCCTGAGACTGGAGACCCCAAAATGGGTAATACCACTGAGAAAGTAATTGCAGGTAAATGATTTATTTTTTCCTAGTCTAATAAAACCATGAAGGCCAAACACTAAAATTCTTAAAACATTATATCCAAGCTGAGGAATAACTAAAGGAACAATAAGCAATTTATAAAGGGGCAAAAATCAGAGAACTGTAAGTGGTGCACAACATTCACGCCGAAAGGCACTTTAAAGATAATCCAGTAATTGCATTTTACAGACTAAGTTAATTGAGCTTTCAGAAGATAAAGTGACACAATCAGAAATATTCAGCTATCAGGCAATGCTAGATTTGTTCAGAATTCTCCTTATCATACCCACCAACCCTCTCAGTGGATTTGGCCTTGTGTTTCTCAAAGTTTGTTCTCTGTGAGCACCAGCCCCATAGAGATGCCCTAATCCCTAGCCCGGGCTCCATAGTGAATGAGTCTGGGGAACATACCACATGGCCCCCTTAGACATCTGTTCACATTAGCATTTTAAGGGCTCTAAGTATTCCTACAGGGCAAGCTTTGTTCAGCCCAGCACTTCCCAAACTTTTTGAGTACTGGACCATTTTTCCCTGTGGCACCCAGGAACACTGCAGCGTCCTGCCCTACCTTCAGGGTTGGGGAAGATCTTGCAAGATAAGTGAGGTACTGCTAGAATATGAAATGTTGATCACTGGAGTAACTACGGATGTATTCAGAAAGGAGAAAGATGAAACTATATGACTCAAACCTTATTTCTTAGTGTCACTAGGGAAACAGTGTTATTAGGCAAAAAATATTTTGTGCTTTAAAATTAATGCTCAAAGTGATTGCTTGTTTTTATACTGATTTGCTGCTAATAATGCTGCCAACATTAATGTTCATTAAGCTCAAGATGCTTACTTTAATTGCATTCTACCTTCTGTTTGTTTTCGAGGACACTGTAATTTATGATCGACTGGCAGAGACTTCAAAATACAAAGAAATTACCCTAAAACATTTAGAGCAGTTTGCTACAGAAGGTGAGTATAATACAGCAATACAGCATGATTAAAATAAAAGGAAATCAAATACTTCTGGTGTCTTGCAAGATTGTTGTTTCTTGACTTAGAAATTCCTAAAGTAAGAGAACAATTAATGTTGATAATTTAGATTATACTACATGCTGTTCCTATTATTTTTGCTTTGCTTCTCTGTATTAAAATTTTGAGAGACTTAGCCCCCAAGTTTTGGGGGTATAGGGCCTATAAATCTGTTCACTTTTTAGAATGGGTACTATTCACATTATAAATATGTTGTATCTCTAGCAGTGTAGAAGGAAGAGAAACAAAACAACTGGCTATGCTAGTCTGAATAAGAAAGAGGAGAAAAATAAGCCTATATGGCTATAAGAATAGTTATTCAGTATAGTTTTAACTCAAGACTTCTTAGGCCCCTACCACATGACAGGCTCTGTGTGAGGCTTGGGATCTAAACATGTTAAGTCCTGTCTCTGTGTCCTCCTGAAACATATGATCTGTATAGCAGAGCAGTGCATAGTCTAGGGGCATGATCTAGATTAGATGGGAGGACTCGAGAGTCCTTAAACAGTAGGGTCTGTTACTACAAGAATTTGTAGAGCCTTATCTCTGAACTTAACAGAAGTAGTCAGAGCTGTATCTAAATCTCCCATCTAAGGTTTCACTCTTGTCTGCTTCAGCTACAACGGTCACCAAATGCAGCAAGCCTGACCTCTGATCAAATCCTTCTTCCTCTTAATCCAAAAGCTGCAAAAAGATAGGAACGTTTTAAAAAGCACGAGGTTTTGAAAAGCAAGGGCATAAAGAACCTTCTCCCAGCTCTCCAAAAATGCAAGAGCATGGAGACACTCCTGTTCATAGAGTTCAGATTCCTCAAGGCGCATCCTCAGCTGGGCTCGGCAGGTACAACCTAGCCAGCATCCTGCCCAGGTTCTTTTTCTGGAGGAGGGTTGAGGGAGCATCTCTCTCTTCTCTGGTTATGATACGAGGATAGTCCAGCTCCTAGACAAATTTAAGTTTTCTTGGTCTTCACCTCCACCCTATTCTTTCTGGCCCTGGGCTGAACATCGCTTTTACTCCATGGCTACCCCAGAGTAAGTCTTCAGCCAAATTTCCAAAAGAGAAAAACATGTCCTAATATGGCCCCAAAGATTTAGCTTCTACTCTCCGTGAGCTGGCAATGGACAACCCTACTCCTTTCTTGGAAGATAGAGTCCTCTGGGCACTTTATGTTCTCTGCTTCTTATTTCTGACATGTTCCCTGGTCATATTTTATTTGGCTTGAGGTCACTAGCACCTCGTTATTCTATGAGTTAATGACTTTGAGTGAGGGTGTTGTCTTCTCAGGAACCCAATTAACTGCATTTGTCCTGGCTGACAAATGCTTTTGCTTCTTCCTTGTTCCAATCCACCGTTTTTTGTTTTTTGTTTGGCTGAAGGTCGTTTCCAAGTGAGTTGTGAAATTGATAGACACTGATCACAAGGAGTAGGTCATCTCAAACATCAGATTTGGTTGTTTTCCTAGGGTGTTTCTGATGAGTACTTTTGTTTTGTCACTATCCCTCAGGTCTTTTAGACTCTTTATACGACACTTTTATGGTGATAAAGAACAATAATAAATACAAGCATATATCCCTGTATGAGGCACATGGCTTTCCTAGGAGACCCCATTGGGGTCCCTCTTTTTCCTCATAAGCATCTATGAAGCATCTACAAGCCAGCTACTGTGCCCAGTACTAGAGTTAGAGGTATGAAGAACTCAGGGCCCCTTCCCTCCAGGATCTGTACACTAATACAGGAAATCCACAAGAAAAACAGTATGAAACATTGTCATTCACACCATAGGTGTGTTTGGGGATTTCTGCCTGTGGGGTCTGAGTGAGAGGAGAATGCTTCCGAGAGATGACGTTACGAACTGAGTCTTAAGGCAGATGCGAGGCAGACAGTTGAGGGAGTTGGAGGGAGTGAAAGGGGGGAAAAAGTGACCAGCGTGTGCAGAGACCCTGGTGTATAGGAGGTAAATGGCAGAGAAGGAGGTTGAAGACAATTGGTACAGGGTAAGTGAGCCAGATTTGGGGGTTTGGACTTTATCCCGGGGAATAATTGAAAGATCTCAAAAAAGGAATAATCTGATAAGATGTGGATGTTGGAAAAGTCACTTTGGGAAAGGCACAAAGGATGTATCGAAAGAGCTAGGGATCAGAAGCACAGTGCCGGTTTAAGGTGAGGGGAGCACGAATACCCATTTTACGCTAAAGTGGTGTCACAACTGAATCAGACTTCAACATATTGTTTGAATTGAGCCAGTCTTTTCAAAATAAGACTTACTTATATAAAAATGGAAGGGTCCTACTTCTGAATAAAATCTTATTTGGTGTTGGGGGGATATATGCTGCCTTTTTTCAGGATTACGAACTTTATGTTTTGCCGTGGCTGAGATCTCAGAGAGCGACTTTCAGGAGTGGCGAGCCGTCTATCAGCGTGCATCCACATCCGTGCAGAACAGACTGCTCAAACTCGAAGAGAGTTATGAGTTAATTGAAAAGGTATGTGAAAGACCATTTTGCTCATACAGAAAATTTGGTTTCCAGAAAATTTCAGTCTTTTCAGGAGCCAATAAATAAAGATCAGAACATTTTGACACACCATTCACTGTTGAATCTCCTCGGGTCGAAGCATCAACAGATATTAATTATGGTCAAAACTTTTGCTGAAAAGTCTCTGGAATTACTTTGTGTAGACCTTCTTTTTTTTATATAATTTTGGATTGGAGTTAGGCTAGTTTAGCTGTCTTCTTGCCAATGTACACTATTGCTTCTGCATCAATGAAGATAAGCATGCCCTCCTCCACACACACGTGCACACAAGTTACATACACTACATGTGTGTGTGTATATATATGTATATATGTGTGTATATATGTATACATACATATATATGTATATGTGGAAATACGTTTGGAAATAACTTTTCTCCTGCCTCATTTTGTACACAGCCTGAATATGTATATATGTATATAAATGAAGATTTATAATATGTAATACAAAATAATGTAAAAATACAGCTTGTGTGACTCTATACCTAATAATGAAGAAGACATAAGTGAACAATTCAGTGCTTATACCTGGCTATTTATTGTGTGTATGCACACACACACACACACACACACGTATGCATACATATACAGACATCCCTCATTTGTGTCACAACCAAAAATACTCTTATTTTACAGATAAGGAAACCAAGGCTATTCAGCCAAAAAGCGATGGATACACTATGATCGCTGCTTTATAAGTAGCAAGAAATCTCACCTCCTTAATTAAGAATGGCAAACATATTTGTGTAGTACTTACCGTGTGCCAAATGCCTTTGTAGCCCTTGAATCTATTAACTAGTCCTCACAACATCCCTTGGAGGCAGGTAATGTTAATGACTCCAGTTTCACAGATGAAGAAATCAAGGAAACAGAGAGGTTAAGTGATTTGGTTGAGATTACACAGTTCATAAGAGGGTGAGCCAGAATCCTCATTCTGGCTCCAAAGTCCATGCTCTTAGCCACTCAGGTATCTTCATTCTAACCTTTCACTTTCCATCAAATAACTTCTTTACTGCATAATTCCTTGACTGTATTCATGTTTGTACTACATAGAATCTGGTTTGTCTGTTAGCTTCAGCTTACTGGATCTTGCCTGCAGGTTAGTAAAAGTTGACATTTTTTTACTCCTTCCTCTTTTTCAAACAGTTTGCTCTCTGGCACTTCCTGTCTGAAAGATGGTTAGCCCCGCTGATGCCTCCTTCCCCTTTCTGCTCCCATATGCTGCCTCTGTGTATAATACTGGGGAATGTCATGCCCCAGCTGCAGGTGGTTTTCTCTGTTGTATACAGTGGCCATTTGTGACTCGAGATACTGTTCTCCTGTCTCCTCAGTGGACTGTGATCACTTTAGAAGCTAGTTTGTTTCTCATACATTCCTTGCCTTTGAACTTATTTTTGTATCTTGCTTATTTCTCAGAAGACTTGTGATAGCATATATGGTACCTTCCAACTTAATACCCATCTACCCCCCAGCTGTAGAAGCACACACACAGCTTGTTATCAGTTAACTTGTTGAATAAGTCTCTCTCCCTCTCTTTTTTTCCCTAACATATTTATATATGATTATGTCTTTGGGGCATAATGTGGTAAAATAAATACTTTATTATTTACAATGCCATGACCATAATCTCTTTCAATCTCTCCAGCCAAAGTTACATGTTTCCTACAGTACTAATGGTTTGGGTTTTTAATCTGTTGTTTTTTTCTTATTGTTTTGAGGACTAAGAACAAAAAAACTAACGTTTGGAAATACGTTTGGAAATAACTTTTCTCCTGCCTCCTTTTGTACACAGCCTGAATATAATGTGATAGAATTAATATATAAGAAGTTACAATAAAATATTTGAAAATGGATTCTAACCATTAAATGTTGTTTCTGCATAAAGCATACTGTAGAAAATTCTGGAGTTGAATGTTTAACATGCCTAATAACAGTTTTACTCTGAACTCCTTAGAGTTTATAGATTAGGTTTTATAGGTTTAACAGTTGTTGCAGTTGGGTGCGTGCGTGCGTGCGTGCGTGCGTGTGTGTGTGTGTGTGTGTGTGTGTGTAGTAAGTGTAATATCTGGTATTAAAAGCCTTGGGACTTCCATCTTTTAAATGAAATAGAAGTTCAACCTTTCTCCAGCAGATGGTGATCGTGAGTCACACGGAAAAATTTAACTCGTCTGGGAAATGCATTACATGTATATGTATATTTTTAGCTTACACATACAGATGCCTCCCTCTGACTGCCTCTTTCCTAAAATGAATGAAAAGGAGATTGATAGCTAATTCCTTTTTACTTCCTGATAAGCCATGATCTCTAAGTTTTATTGAAAAATCTAAGAACCAGAAAGGTGAAAGGATTGGTTCCCTTGCTCAGCCAGTTTCCAAATAAGGGCTGGATTTCTGTGTCCATCCCTATCCCTAAAACCATAATTCCACTCAGGTGTTTATTTCATTAACTTGAATTAGGCTGCTAATAGGTGTTAGGTATTGGGGAAGCACAGGCAAATAAGGAACACTCCCTCAGTGGAGGACCTGAGCATCATGGTCTGAACAAATTCCTTAAGTGGGGAATTCGGAAGGAACCCGAAATGGTAACCCACAAGCTTGGTCCAACGGTAGCTCCAGAGACATAACTTTTAAAATGAACTCCAGGGGCTCCTGGGCAGCTCAGTCAATTAAGCATCCGATTTAGGTTCAGGTCATTATCTCCTGGATCATGGGTTCGAGCACCGTGTCAGGCTGTATGCTGGCAGCTCAGAGCCTAGAAACTGCTTTGGATTCTGTGTCTCCCTCTCTCCCTCTGCCCCTCCCTTGCTTGTACTCTGTCTCTGCCTCTCTCAAAAATAAACATTTAAAATTTTTTTAAATAATAAAAAATAAAATTAACCCCAAAAGATTATTTTACCAGTTAAAAGAGGTCAGAGGTTTTTTTAGGGAAAAAGAACAGGCACAATAATACTGAAGAGTCTCTGTAACGAAGAGTTATTTTTCTGAAAATACTTTTCCTATCCCTGATCATTTGAAGACTCTAGGATTTTTAATGTATCTAGAGTCAGGGTGATATCACTGCTTCCTTGGTCTGAGCTTGCATTCTGGGTTAAAATCGCTGGGGTGAGTGTTCAGTAGGAATTGTGGGTGATTGTCATTAAAACCACCCTACTGAGGCAGGTTTCAACATGGCAGAGCACGGGTCCTGCGGGTGCATTGCCCTGGCTTTACATTTAGCTGTCATAATGTTAAGGGTCAACCGTTTTTGGCTTCTTCTTTGGCTACTTTATTTATTTTTTTTTTAATTTTTATTTTTGTATCTGTTTTTATTTTTAGAGACTGCATGAGCAGGGGAAAGGGGCAGAGAGATAGATAAAGACAGAGAATTCTAAGCAGGCTCCATGTTCAGCACAGAGCCCAAAGGGGCTTGATCCCACGACCCTAGAATCATGATCTGAGCCCACATCAAGAGTCAGATGCTCAACCGACTGAGGCACCCTAGCGTTCTTTGGCTACTTTAAATGAGACATGTGGATTATGTAGTCTCTTTTTATGTGATTGCAATCTGTTTTTTTGGGTGGACCACAATATTAGACTTAGCATGTAGATAGTGAATTTTAAATCTTTCTTCTAACAGCAAAACCCATTTAGCAAACAAAGTATTGCCTGAATCATAATATGTATAAGAGATACAAGCAGAGTTGCTCTGATTAAGGGTGGAGGGGTGGCGAGGAACCCCAAATTGGCTCTCCCCTCAACCTCAGCACCTTGCCCTCATCATGGTCAGTGAGAAGCTTTTTATGATTCTGGGCTTCACTGAGCACCTTTTGAAACCATATAATATTCCATCTGTGTGTGAAATTTTTAGAAAATGTGCTTCTCAAAATACTATAGATTTTCAATGCTTTTCAGTTTTGTTAGGAAGAAAGAGGGCACTCACATGAGCAGGGGAGAGGGGCAGAGGGAGAAGGAGAGAGAATCTTAAGCGGGTTCCATGCCCAGTGTGGAGCCGGAGTCAGGGCTCAATTCCATGACCCTGGGATCGTGACTGAGCTGAAATCAAGAGTCGAATGCTTAACCAACTGAGCCACCCAGGTGCCCCTCAATGCTTTTCACTTTTCAGTGAAAAACCAGATTGTCACTGTGGTCCCTGCACAAGAGGTTTCTGAACATATTTGAATTAATGATGCAAAATGCCATTGACATGTTAATGGTAGTATTACATTAAAGACATTCAAAATTTGAAAGATTCGTAGAGCTTTTCCTGAAAATGAGAATATTTTTAATATGTTGCAAAATAAGTGAAAATTTTGTAAATAAGATTGTACTTTTAAACCCTACTCACTATCTTATCCCTCCAGTGTTTGTTCAAAGAAGTAACTCAGTTTTTGAAATTTAGTTAAAACCTTATTCCTTTGGGTGCAGTAACTCCTAGCATAAGCTGAAAAAATATCCAAATAGACCGAAAACATCCAAGAAGATAATGACTTTGGTCCCTTGGCACAGTGCTTTGTTACTTTTCTTTCCCAGCAATCTGAGCACTAGAAAGCACCCCCTTCATCCTCCAGGGCACTATAGGAAAGAAGAATGTATAAGAGATTTGAAAAAGTCCTCTGGATACCGTTATCCCTACTGACTGTCGTTAGAGGAGAAGTTTTAGGACTTTTACATCCATCTGTAAATATCAGCATCATCTCTGCTCATGCTTTGGACTCCAACCCTTGTATTCAGATGGTAAACTTTTCAGGATTAAAAAAAAAAAAAAAAAAGAAATTCTAATGCTATGGGTTGTTTCAAGATGTTCCTGAAACATCTTTTTTCTGTTACCAATGGAGGCCAAGACGCAGCATTGATTCCTAGGAAGACAAAATGGTACAGGAACAAGAAGGGTCAGTCACATGGCTAAAATGCAAAAGGAATTATTAGAATCATATTAGATACTTGAGGTGTCTTGACCCGGTTTAGGAAGGG